AGAAAAATAGATAACATTTTTATTGATAATATATCGTAAATGTTTATATATTTACATATATGTGTAGATACATAGACTCATCTAATATTCTTTTTTTACCGCGTGAATGTATATTATATCTTCAGTAGTCGACGCTTCAGAAGTTTCACATCAATTTTCTTGATTGCTAACTTGATACTCGGCTTTTGTCTAGTATAGCAGCTACACGAACTGCATCGTGAATGATTGATTACTTTAAAAGAATTTGATGAAGTAAACCGTTATAACAGGAAACGCGCAATAATAGGTAAAATAGAGGATAATAAAGGAAACTACTTCGTAGTGGCGCGCGTGTTTCTCGATTTTGTTAACATTTGATATAAATTGAGGTCGGCTATAAACACAAATATATTCCAGATAATAAATAAATTTCCAATTTACCATAATGCACCTTTATTCAATATCTTTTGTGTAATAAATTTACTCCGCTCTCTATCTGACATCTGACAATTTCATCGGAATAACTGCGATAATGGGGGTAACATTCTCCGGGACGATATTATTCTCTCTCTTTTCCTCTGCTCTACAATTTATTATACTATCCATCTAGCCGTCAATTTTACTGCAATAATGGCGCCGACGAGTATAAAGCGGCGGTCGCCGTCAGTCAGCTATATGTATATGCGCTTGAAAGTGCGCGCCAGAAATTCCCGGTTGCACACACTCTCTCTCTCTCTCTATCTCGCTCATTTACCCTTTCGTTCTCTCGCGCGTCGAAAAAAACGCGCGCGAGAACGAGAGTTCAATTTTAACTCCCGAAACGTTAAAAAGAATCGTTCGATCGCAACATGTATGTTGGTCGCACTCGCGTTGAATTCGCACTGCTGCGCGCTGACGAGAGCTCTTCAAATGTATATCACACGTATAGTCAAAGCTGTCCCTCGACTCTTCAGTTTTATTACCGCGTTTTTCCGCACGACCGTGCGTTAGCTGCGTATACTTTTTTACACGGCGATTTTGCAATCCTTTACGGGATCTGCGCGCACGTGCTCGTGACAGTTTGTCGGTTTCTCTTCTAAATGTCCTTCCCGAACAATCGCGTCAACCGATTCCCCGGTTCAAAAGGATTATTTGTCGCTGCTCGAATCTACTCGCGGAAAAGCAGCGCGGAATAATTAGGGACAAGTTAGGAATCTCATTAAATCAGAAGGGTGGAGATTAAAACGATGATTGCTGAAATATGAGAGTTGCCCTCGTATCTACTCAACGGGAATACGATTGAACAATTCCATTGCAACTTCCGACAAACAAAGGGAGCGAAAATTTACATAAAGATAATAAAACGAGTGAGAGATGATAAAATTCGATGTTCATCCTCATTTCATTCTCGACGAGCTTTTTATTTGCGTCCATTATATTATTTTTATTATTGGATTTAGACATTTTCTTTGATATATATCTTTGATGTCTGATATCGATATCTCTGAGGATGCTATTAAAGCTTCGTATTTTTTTTTCCCTCCTCTAATGTCCGTCGATTACCGACACAATGTCGTTTTTCTCTATTGCGGCTCGCTAGCGAGCTCGCTGGCGACGCTCCAATAAGTATTTTCTTCCCTCTTGCAGGCTGTCACATCTCGCGTTTCACGGCTGTCCTTTCGCATCGTCGACTCGTCGTCGTCGTCGTCGTCGTCGTCGTCGTCGTCGTCGTCGTAACATGGCGAAATAGTTTCGCGCCAGAACAATGCCACGATTACGTCGGTCCGTGTGCATTGTACATTATGAGAGGTAACACGCGCGTCGCGCTTCTGTAATTATGGAAACCAAGCATAAACTCGGCGATTTGCATTTCAAACTACTATTGTAATCTTGGGTCCGACAGACGACCGCGCGCTTGTTCCTTCGTGCTTTTACCTACCTTCTCTCTCTGCCCTTACCCTTCATTCGTGGAATGTCTCGAAACTGCCCGTCCTTGCTCTCGGCTATGCATTCTTTAACCAATTTGAAGTTGGTTCTTCCTTAACGAAGATACGGAACGATGAATGATTCTCTTAAGCTATTTCTATGTTGAAATTAAGAGACTTTCAGTCTCTTTCTCTCTTTATTGAATTAAAGTTGACAAATGCAAAGAAGGAGAGACACCATTTTATTATTTTTTATTTTATTTGAAAAATTCGCGAAAGTGCTAATTTATTGAAAATCGTGAAAATTGCAACCAGATTTCGACCGATAAATTACATATTTGAAATGTGTTTTCTTTATGGAAGGGATGAAAAGAGAGAGATGTAACAAATCTCGGATATACTCTTTATACATATGTGGATCCATCGTTCCACACGTGCTGTCACTCTTCTTCCCGATTATTCACGTTAATGCATTTTGATGCATTCAGCCAATTCGCCCGTAAATGCGTTTCCGGCGCAAATTTTATTTCATGTCGAAATGCCGAAACGATAACGCCGATACATTTATCTAGATTAATATACGGCATATGTGTTTCAGAATTATTTAAAAATCGATTGATGCGGGACATTAATCGATATAATTTTTGATAACATATACACAAACACATGAAATATTAAACATAAAGTAATTTTATTTTCTAAATGATATCAATAATCGAGGCTCGCTGTCAATTTCATATTTTTCCCGAATTTTATTATTGAGAGATACATTTTCACATCTGGGATAACTGAGGCTTTCACGCGGACATGCAGTTTTGTACATCGTTTGAAAAATCGTTTCGCGTAAATAGATATTAATAATGTATATAGGTATTGCGCGAATATATATATAGTCGCGACAATATGGGCGACATTTAAATCCCAAAGGGTGAATAAATGAAAAATCTGTGACAGCCGCGGTGCCGATATTTTGACATGCGAAAAAGTTATACGCTCCCGCTACTCGAAATTGCATCGCTAATTAGCGCGTTAATTATGCGGGGCATCGCTAATTGCTCTCAAAGTCCCAGCTGCGCGGCGATTTTGTTTTCCAAAATGAAAATTTGTTTGCATCGAGCCGCGAAAATTACCGCGACCAGCAGAGCGCATTCATTCAGTAGACATCTCGCTAATTGCTTTTAAACCCGCAGCAGACCAGCTGCGTTTCTATCTATATTGTGCTATATTATATACTTAAGTGCATTTTATAAACATGAAACTTTATGCAATTATATTAATAAAAATGAAATAGTCAAACTTATGTAGTGCGAGATATTAAATAATAACGATATAAAATAAATTAATAAAATATATCCAAATAAAAACCTATTACTGTATTGCGGTAATTTTCATGTTCGATAATATAGGCAAGGAAATATGTTTAATGCGGATAAAGAGATTGATATAACAGAAAGGCAGCGAATGGAAGAAAATTTCATCGAGGTTCTTTTTAAAATACGATCTATCCCCGCGGGTGTGTAAATCAGAATCGATAGCTGCTCCGGCACTATACAATATCCGAGCGGGAATGACATGTTCGTAATTTTCAGCGACATGACACGGTGCGCACGATACGTGAAAATCAACCTTTAACGCTCTCCCTGGCTCGCGTTTCTATTTGCAAGCCCGGTGTAAACGGCCATAGCGGAACCGCGTTTCCAACCGTCCGCGTCCGTTCGACGAAATATTGGCCGGGCCGATATTTCCATAAACAGCGCGCGACACTGTGCGAATATACGATGCCGCACCACGACCAGTTAGTTAATTGGGTTTTCTCTAATTGCTTTTATATCCTCGGTTACGTTCCGTCGCGCCTCGAGGTCATTCGAGTTTTACGATTGTTAAAAAACAACCTACTATTGTAAAAAAAAAACACAAAAAGTTGAAAAAAATTGAAGAACTTATTTCTGATATATAAACTGGTGAAATCAAAGAGAAAACGGAAGGTATATAAAAAGATCAATAATTGAATGGTGTAATGAAGACAAATAAATTTGTGAGATCGCACCATTGTTAAAAAGGTGATTCAAAGAAAATTTAATAAATGAAAGATTTTTTTTTCCTAATATAGTTTGTCAGATTAAAAAGATAATTGAAATAAAATAGAAATTAGATACGTTTTCGATCTCAAAGAGATCTGCTTCTCTATGATCGCTGATAGAATTTTGAGAAACAAATTTATTTTAAATTATGTAAGAAGCCCTTCAAGAAAACAATTTTCGTGATCGCATGAAAGAAATAAAGCATGATAGAGTAGCGTAAGCGATTGATTTTGAAAAAAAACATTAATCACGTCAATCTTTCCAGTGTTGAGTTTGTTCGAGAGTTTGAGAAAAATAGTTTTTTTAATATTTTATTCTTCTCTAAGAAACTTGTGCAAAATTACAATAAAACTTCAAATATATCGTTCAACATTTTAAATATAAATTCTTCAAATATTTTCACAATTTTATTAATTCTTCAGTAATTGTATTAATCTTTCGCTATTGCACTTTTAATCATCCTGATGGTTGCGAAAATGATTACAAATCTAATTAGCGTAACACTTAAAAAGGACGTCGCATTCTAAAATTAAAGGAGGGAAGGAGAAATAGAGATGCAAATAATTTCATAAATTTTTGATAGATCGCAATTAGCATCTTCATCGCTCAGTCATGCTATCTCTTTTGATCTATTCTCGTATGGACTTAGGAGACCGTGTCGTAGTTAGAATGCAAGTCCCTGAGCGTAACGAGATCGTCTCATGGTCAGAATGACAAGTCCCCGGACATACACGAGACTATCTCAATCTAATTACAAACACAATATTGCTACGTACAAATGCATTAGTCGATATATATATACATATAGCAGTAATTTTTAATAAATGCTATGTATATTATCAGCAACAATTTTTCATTTTTTTAACAATTAAGATAGCACATTTTGTGATTAAATCATACATACACATCATTATATTATTAAAAGGTGTTCTCCGTATTTATTTCAAAAGCAGAGTTAGCGTAGCAATTAAGATATAAAATGTATTCTATATAGTATATCTATGACTCATCGCTCGTCGTTCATTTTGTGTTGCAGGACATGTCCGACGTGTGCGTTGGGACCAGCGTGGGGACCATTACCGAGCCGGAATGTTTAGGGCCCTGCGAGCCCGGTACCTCCGTCACCCTCGAGGGCATCGTTTGGCACGAGACCGAAGGAGGTAAGAGTCTTCTTACAGCTTAATTTGTCCATTTGCGTCGGCATCTTAGAGCTACGACTTTCTTGCTCTCTCTTTCTCTCTCAACTTCTGCTTAGATGTACAGATTAGATGATCAAACTGATTCGAAAAAAGGTGATAATTTAAGGTATTAATTTTCAATGTTTTCTCCACATATTAAAATTCTATAATCGATAAAATGAGATTTTTTCGTTGTCGGAATAAAAAGATATTTTGATAAGTTAATTTTATACGCTGATTTTAACAATGCTGTATTGGTTTTTTTTTTTAATACACATAATTACAGCGCAGCTGATGCGTAGTTAATTGAAAATAGATATTTCTTTACTTATTCGTTTCTTTTTAACGATATACTTTGTACGCGAAAATTAGTTGGAAAATTGAATTCAGATTATCTGATACTCTTGATATAATTTAATGAAAAAGCTAAAGTTATCTTTAAAATAATTTTTCTTAGTTATCCAATGCTTATAGTCGTTTTTTATGCAATAAAAATTAAATTTTTTGTTCTTATAACTCGTGTAAGTGATGTTAATTATTATCAATTCTGTTGGCGAGATATAGCCTCTCGACAGAATATATCTCATCCACGATCGTTTTTCTCAAATTTTTTAGATGAACGTTGAATTAATGACGGCTTTATTTTTAAAAGCTGTTAAAGATACTAGAGATTCAAGTGCCAACGTTTCAAAATGTCAGTAAAATACGAAGAATTTGCATTTAAAGATTCATCAGCATTCTCAGTTATTCATTTGTCAAATTTGCTTCCATCGAGTTGGTCTTGTTATTGGCTCCGGGCTCTTCGGATAAAGTCATATATGGTACTTATTGATTTATCGAATTTCTGCAATCCGCTGAATAACAGTAATAACACTAATGGTAGCGCATACAAAGTCTGTGCTATTATTATGGAAATCGGCGTCCTAAGGGACTATACGAGCACATCTATCGTTCAACGCAAAATCACCGCATCTGCCGCCCACTTGTTTTTCCCGGGATATTAAGTAATATTAAGCATCGTTAGAGAGTTGCTATATAAAATGATGTTCACCGTTAGCGCGCGTTTAAACGCAGAGCGCAGGAAACGAGCCCCGCTTACATTGCGATTTTCTTCGTGATATAGTAATGAACGATAATTGTGCAGTGCTTCCTGAAAAAAAGATTACAAGCCCCACTTTTGTCAAACAAATACAGGATATTATTTATCTGGCAATATCTACATCCATATGACTAGACAACTATCTCAGTTTTACGAGAAATCATATTTCCTAGTTATGTTAATTGCTATTTCAATATTTTCTCACTGAAGCATATTTGACGAATTTAGGTATGCTTGGATTATTCTTTGATAAATTTAATTTTGTTTTTCGTACGCTTCAAAAATTCATGGATTAATGTATAGTCGCGTAACAAATGTCAGCAACAAGACAAATGATTTAAAAAATCGCTAATGGATATGTAGATAATGAATTTAATAAGTCGACACTTTTATGAAAATTTAATAAAACAAAACTTTTTGATAATAGTCGGTATAAATAAAATTTTACATTATATATATTTTTTTTCTCCATTTTAATATCAAAGTTTAATTCTGCTTTTGTATAAATTATGATTTAAATTCTGACTTTTGGAATGAAAATTCTGTTGTGCAGATTTAATAAATAATAAACGTGAAATCGATATTTTCACAGTAACTGTTCTGTTTATATCATTTATATATTTGTATAATTGTTCGAATAAATAATAACTATCATCATTGTGATATTGGTCGAATAAAAACCGTATCATCTCGTGTCGACTGAAAATAACTAGCAGCGATGATCAATCAATCGTTTGCCCCGAGTAAACATTCGGAAAGTACGGTGTAATAGGAATAGCACTCGATCGATCTTGTTGCTGCTCGAACGATTCGGGGTTATAAATATCCATTCGATACTTCACCGAGCAGAAAAGTTGGGTAAATAAGAGTGTGTTGCAATCGGGATTTTATTATTTGTTGAAATCGCTTTTTTCCATTGATTGCAATTATATAATTATTATACACAACAAAATATAATCTCATATTTTGTATTCATATTATATTGAATTTTACGTATTCAGTTTTGTGTAAAAATAATGTTCTTTATTTCACTTTGTTTAAAAAAAACGAGGTTTTTTTTTTATTATAAAACATCACGTAAGAGAGAATTAAAACTTGTTGCCTGATTACCGGACTGGTTTACCGCAACATTGCATCAAAATGTTGCACTGTCATGTTGGTGTATTTTTACCGATAATGAGTATGATTAGAATAAACGCGATAATAAACTTCATAATTGGATCGCCTGCTTATTAAGAGCTTATTAAGAACATGTCGACGGTTAAAAAAAATAGTGTTAATCCGTGATAATAATTGCGTTTGCAAAGTAATGTAGATTAATTTATTCGAATTTAAACCTTTTTTTCATGCTCGTTAGCATACGTTTCGTAAACACAACTTTTATGTTGTTTTACACATCGCTAAATCGAATTGCTAATTTGAGCGACTAATGCAAGACTCATTATTACGTACAGGGCGTGTATAGACTCTGATAATAAGGAAAATATTTAAACATTGAAAATTATGCTTGTGTGTGTAAAAACTTTAATCGATATATTTCTGCAAGTCACTTTATAATCTGATGAAAAATATGATATGCCTTTAATGAGTTGTGTGACTCAGACTAATCAACGTTAGAAGGATCGTAATAAATTTTACAAGTAGTGATAATAAATTAAACGTTGAAAAATTATTATAAATAAATTTTCTCGTAGAATTTTATAATAAAAATTTAAACGAATAATTAGACTAATATTATTTATCTGAAAAACATTTACCATATTTTTCTCAATTAAACGCGGAAAATTCTTAAATGTTTTTTTTTCTTTTTACTTCCTATATATGATAATATGCCGCGATAAAATAATAATGCGCCGCGGCTCGACTCGCACGCGAGATAAAACTGATGTGAGAATGAAATTGAAACAAAAGTATTAGGAAAGACTCACGCTGGTGGAATAATTAATTCTATTGCGAGCGACCGTATAATTAATTCCAATTTCGCTAATAGATAATCTACCGCGGAGGGGAAAGCCTTCTTCGAGTGCTATCATCGCATGCTTCAACGACGATTTCGTCATAATACGTTCTGGAACGATCTGCGGAAATAATAAAGAAAGCCTCACGCTATACGGGTACACGCGAACATTTCGCTCGATCGTAATTTCGTTCACATTCGTGACAAAATGTTACTGTTGGCGCATAATGTGTTCATGAATATAGATATGCATTCTATAGTTCAAATAAACATACTATATAGGATGCTTCAACATTATACATATATTCCGAAGTCGACTCCAAATTCGTTTATGCGACTATAAAAAATTTGCTGTATAAAATATATACATAAATATATATATATATGTATAATATAAAACGCCATATAAAATGCGTCTGTATAAAATATAACAATAAATCGGATATGCATGAAGGTGTAATCGTGAGATATATGAAGCCGAAGGCACATTCGCGAAATATATTGCCAATCTTCTTAAACAAGTCCGACTATTTCAGTTTCAGTCCGAATTCTCGAGCCACATTCGAGCGTGCAATGCAGGCACACGCAACCGCATACACTCGTGCATGCCCGAGCGGTAAGCTCCGTGCACACAAAAGCGCACACATGCACACGCAGTCGCACATATACATACATAATACACGTAGCCGGCTCGCGGCTGACACAACACGGGTAAGGTAGCTTGTCAGACAGGTATTATGTGTAATGCCGCGGTCGTGGTTGTCGTCGGGTTAAAACTACATCGTGACTCTCCCCGGCTGCTCTTCCTTCTCTTGCTCACCGTATCTCTTTCCTTTCCTCTTTTATATTCCTCCGCTCTTTTTCTCTCTCCTTCCTTCAAGGCACCGAAGGTCTACTTTATGATCGCTGCTTCGAAAGCAGCCGAACCGAGTAGCAGTTTTTCACCGTTGGATTCCCTCGCGAAGCAAGGATAAATGAACGACCATTATATGAAAGGAACCAAGCGCTTCCACGTCAAAACTGAGAAATGGACTTCCAAAGTTTTCTCCGGAGGGAAAAATGTGTTCCCTCTGCGCTGGTAATTTGTAACATTCTAATGTAAAGTTTAATCTACTTAATATACGGCGGGCTTCAAATGTAAGTACCTGCAAGTATGCAAAAGTGGCACTTGGTACCTTTCATATAAATGTATGTTTAAAGCGCGTGCAAACACATATTCTACTTTCAACAGTGATCTTTTGCACTTTTGTGGTAAATAAATTACGCCACAAGAGAAAATGTTAAAGAAAAAGAAGAATATGAATACGTGTATTAAAAACACTTTTAATTAAGAACTAATTAGCGCTAATTTACAAAAGTATATATAGTCAGGCGTGTTCCATAGAGCAGACGTATCTATTATAATATTTATTAACAAGAAATATATTTCCGATGTGCATCTGAAACCTTATCCAAGTATCATCAACACTCTCTCGTGTGCTTAAAATCACTTCCTCTGTTCCGAAAGAATAAACTACACGGCAAAGTCTAGAGAGGGAGTTCCTAAATGGCTATCCATAATGGCAGATTAAGAAGTCTATAAATTCGTCGAATTCCCAATTGAACGGCCGGCCAATCTGTCCAAGCCTGCCATCCATCCAAGTTTTATTACTTTCGTCGTTCGCCGCTGATATCCTGCTGTTACGTCCTCTTTTCTCTCTCCGTTTTGCCTCCTTCATCCCCATAACTCTTCCATTGCCATTTACCCCTTCCCGTTTACATTCGCTCTACCCTTTTTTCTCCTTTCGCACGGCTCTCCTCGTCTTCTTTTACATCTTTTCATCTCCTTGTTACTTCTCTCCGCGTTTACTCTTTGGTCGGAGGCCTCCTTCAACTCCTGGAGAGACGCGAGAAAGAGAGATAGAGAGCGAGAGAGCTCTATCAGCG